TGTAAAAAAATCAATAAAATATATATTTTTTTAAAAATTAATAAGAGTGGGCAAACTACATACCAAAATCTGCATGAAGCTGCCCAGGCTATGCTCAGAAGAAAATGGCTCCTTCTTGAGCAATAAATAGCCATGTGATCCTGGGCAAGTCATTTAGCTTTGTAAAGCTTCAGTTTCTCATTATCTATAATAATAAAAGTAAAATATCCTAATTACACTACATGTCCTTCGGATGACCTTCCAGATGAAGCTGGGCTGGGAGGGAAGCCCAGTCCCGGGTGTCAGAGGGAAGTTGGTGCCAGCAGCCGGGGGAAGGAAGCCCTACTCTTACAAGAATTTTGTGCATCAAGCCTCTAGTTAAATAAGAATTCCTCCTTGGTCGCAGCCTGTTCAGCTGCAGCCTGCTCTTGCTCTCAGTCCCTTCAGAGTCTCCAGGCAAATCAGATCCCTCCCCTCACCCTCAGGGGAGACGGTGCAATGCATGCGCAAAATTTCCAGCTCAGCATCAGCAGACTGACCCTCGGAGTGAGCCCCCTGTTGTTGCAAGGTGTCTGGAGCTCTGGGAATGGTGCGGGAGCGGAACAGAGCACAGCCAGCCCTATGTCCACAGGGCCCGGAACTTGCTGAGGAGGGATGTGAGGCAAGAGGTGCAGGACCCCAGCTCGAAGCCACACTCCCTGGAAAGAAGGTCCTGTGGGGAGGACAGCGCATCCCTCGGGGCTTGCCCATCCCATTGGTTGGGAAATACCGATCGACTTCGACATAACTATTTGATTAAGAAATTAGTACTTGAGGGTTCTCGTAATTAGTTATCTCTTGGCTATTTAGAGAAAAAGCACAGAATGGGTTTTACTTAGAAATTTCATGCCATTTTGTGTGTGTCATTTTGTGCTGTGGCTTTCCCAGAACAATTAAACTATTTTTGTTTTATTCCTAAAGAAATAATTCATGACACATGGGTTCTTTATCACAAAATAAAAATGTCATATGTTATCTTTGGAACAAAATAAATGAGTTGAGTATTGTCATTTATTGTAAAATATGCTATCTAGACTGAATCTTGGTAAGCATCCCACTCTCCAATCTTCTTGATATTTAAAATAGTGAGTAATTAATTTCTAAGCTTGGTTTATGTTTTCTGCAGGAGGTCATTTGCATACTTACATTTTGATATTGAAAAAAATCCTAGAAGCTCAACCTCAAAAGTTGTCGCTTGCCTAGATAAACATCTGCTGTTCTAATGGTGTTTTGAACTGCTGAACTACCATTTAAATATTCTTAATTTTTTTTTTCTTCTTACAACTGAGTGGGTGGGGAAGTGGGCAAGAACTGTAGAGTGTAGTCACCTAACTCTGTCTCATCCTTTACAGCATCGGAGTTCCCACAGCGGGCAGCCTTCCTCACGCAGTTACTATCGGAACTGAAAGGGAGAAAAGGCTGAAAAGCACTTCAGCATTCTCAAGGGGCTCGCCACAGGCATGTTTACGTGGCTCATTGCTTAATCGTTTGTGAAATGCTTTCCTGGCTCAGGTTTTTAAAATGTTGTGTCTACTTATTGTTACGGATCCATGGGAACATCTATTGGTCACTTCCTAAATAACATACATTTAAGAATCTTTTTTTAAAAATGAAATGTGTCATTCATTCATCTAAGCAGTAATTCCTGAGCACTTCATCTAGACCTGGAAATACAGTAAGAACAAGAACCAGTTGTCATGGTGGCTGTCGTGGAACTAATATCCCCCTAGGAGGGATAGATATCAAGGCAGAATCACGAAGAGGGCAATGATTACTGTGGCCAGGAAGGGCTTCATGGAGATGGAGGAGGTGAGACTTGGATTGAGACCTTAAGGGTGAGAATGGATACACATGGAAGAAGTGAGGAAGAACAGTCCAGGCAGAACTTAGCAAGAACCAAGGCCTGGAGGTTGGAGTTAGAAAGAAACCACTGTGACTGGAGGGCGGTAGGGAAGGTGGAAGCAGAACATTAGCAGGGTATGCAGAGACCAGCCCAGATTCCCAATAAACTTGGCTCATTCCTGCAGAAGCATCCTGAATGGAATGCTCCCATCCTTCCATGCAGTAGGACTGGGCCACCCGCCCCCGGTTCCTGTGCAGGTGAGGCTGGTGGTACACTGATGCTTGGAAAGGCTGAGTGGTCTGCTCAGGGAGCACCGGTGTGCCCCGATCACTTTCCCTGCACCAGCTGGTGGAGTGGTTAGGAGGGTGGTGGCCCAAGCCCAGCTGGGCAGGCCAGAGTATGGCCTGGGGAGAAAAAAAAATGTTACTCAATAGTTTGCTCTCTGTTTTCCTGAGTTGAATATGTGGGGATCCTCCTAGTAAGCCAGGACCTTCCGGAGATACCAGTGATGGTGGGTACCGGGCTACACCAAGACTGGACCTCTGGCTGAAGGGCCATCAAGCCCTCTTCCCAGACAGCACAGGACAGGACGGGCCTCCAGCCCTTCCGAGATGAGACAGCGGGTGATGTCAAAGCCCCTCCCTTCTATGCAGAGCCCTGAGCTGAGTGTGCAGAAGGGCAATGGGAAAAGAGACACTCACTTGGGCCGCCAACTCCTGGCTCAGCCTTCCAGGGCTTGGTTCCCATGAAGTGCTTAGAACGGTGACCGGTTTGTAATAAATGCTCAATTAACATTAGCGATGATCCCATTTCAAGCACTGAGTTTTCACTCTGGGTTGCACAGTGCTACGTAGTCTTTCAAGGCCGGTGCTAACTGGCATGCTTGCTGCATTCTTGTTCTTACAGTTGATGAGATCCTCTTGAGACCCTTGTTCAAAGGAATACTTGTATAAAGATGCATTTGTGTGAGGGGAAGAATCTGGCCCCGAAAGTGAGAGACATCATTAAAATTTGGGAATAAACATCTGGAATAAAAAAAGACCCCAAATAGCTGCAGCAACCCTGAGAAAGAAGAACAAAGTAGGAGGAATCTCAATACCAGATATCAAGCTGTATTACAAAGCCTCTGTTCCCGGAACAGCCTGGTACTGGCACAAGAACAGACATATAGATCAATGGAATAGAATAGAGAACCCAAAATTCGACCCAAGCCACTATGCCCAATTAATATTCCACAAAAGAGGCATGAACATACAACGGAGTCAAGACAGTCTCTTCAATAAATGGTGTTGGGAAAATTGGACAGATTCATGCAAAAAAACAAAACTAGACCACCAACTTATACCATACACAAAAATAAACTCAAAATGAATAAAGGACTTAAACTTAAGAGAGGAAACCATAAAAATACTAGAGGAATCCACAGGCAGAGAAATCTCAGACATATGCCGAAAGAACTTCTTCACTGATACTGCTTGCTCCTAGGGCAATGGAAACTAAAGAGAAAAATAAACAAATGAGACTACATCAAAATAAAAAGCTTTTTCACAGCAAAAGAAACCATCAACAAAACAACAAGAAAGCCCACTGCCTGGGAGAACATTTTGGCCAATGTTATCACCGATAAGGGCTTAATCTCCAACATTAACAGGGAACTCATACAACTTAACAAAAGGAAGATAAATGATCCAATTTTAAAAAAATGGTCAACGGACCTAAATAGATACTTCTCTAAAGAAGACAAAAGGAAGGCCAAGAGGCACATGAAAACATGTTAAAAGTCGCTTGTCATCAGAAAGATGCAAATCAAAACAACAATGCGGTACCATCTCACACCTGTCAGAATGGCTATCATCAACAAATCAGCAAATAACAAGTGTTGGCGAGGATATGGAGAAAAAGGAACCCTTGTGCACTGCTGGTGGTAATGCAGAGTGGTGCAGCCACTGTGGAGAACAGAATGGAGTTTCCTCAAAAAAAAAAAAATCTAAAAATGGAACTCCCATTTGACCCAGTGATCCCACTTCTAGAAATATATCCCAAGAAACTAGAAACACCAATTAGAAAGGATATATGCCCACCTATGTTCACAGCAGCACAATTTACGATAGCTAAGATTTGGAAACAGCCCATCAGCAGATGAGTGGATTAAAAAACTGTGGTACATCTACAAAATGGAATACTATGCTATAGTAAAAAAGAAGGAATTCTTACTATTTGCAACAGCGTGGGTAGAACTGGAGAGCATTATGCTAAGTGAAATAAGCCAGTCAGAGAAAGATAAATATCACATGATATCACTCATTTATGGAATATAATGAACAACATAAATTGATGAACAAATATAGATCCAGAGACAGAGAAACATCGATCAGACCATCAAACCTCAGAAGGAAGGTAGGGGAGGGTGTAAGGGGGAGAGATCAACCAAAGGACTTGTATGCATGTACGCAAGCCTAACCAATGGACACAGACAACAGGGGGATGAGGGCATGAGTTGGGGGGGCGGGAATAATGGGGGAATAAGGACACATATGTAACATCTTCATCAAAAAAGAAAAATTGAAAAATAAAATTTGGGAATAAAGTTGAGGTAGCAGTGACTAGACTGAGTTTGTAAAAACTGAGGTTGCAAAAACCCTGTCCCACAGAGCAGCTCAGGAAACTGTGCTCTCTCTCATCCTCCTGTCTGTCCCACCACGCTCTCCCCACCCAGCCCAGCCCGTCCTTCATCAGAACACCCGTGTCTGGCTATTACTGTATCGCATTTCCATCAAAGTGAAAGAGGGAAAATACAGCCCTGGGCTTTCGTGGAGAGTGTTTTAACTCTCACAACCAGAAGCTCTGCCTCAAAGTTTGTGTGTGTGTGTGTGTGTGTGTGTGTGTGTGTGTGTTAAGATCTTTAACTTTTCCTATAGCATCTCTACACCCAACCTTTTCAAAAGCTTTTTTTTTCTTTCTTTCTAAGGAATGATATTTCCCTAGATAATGCAAAACATAGTCTTTGGCAAGTGACTCAGTTTGATATAGTATGTATACCTTTTTTTTTTTTTCTTTTCAATGTCAAGTGACCCAAACTTACAGAGAAAAAGTGGGCACTTGGTATCAGTTTGATGTCGGGGTTTTTCCACGTTTGTGAGGGAGCTTTAAATACGACTTGATGTGAAGGTGTCTGCAGACTGAACTCCAACTCTGTGTCAAGATGCTCCTGACTGTGGTCCTTGCCTCTGCCCTTCTCCTCGGCTCTGTGGCTGGGCAGGGCTGTTTGACCTTCGTAGGGATCAAGGACATCACGCACCTCATCGATAACCTGCAGGTAAGCGGTGGAGAGGGGCACCAGTGGGAAGAGCAGCTACTGAAATGTAAGGGCATCCTTTTAGGAGAAGGAAGAGCACAACACACATCATGGTTTCTTGTCTCTCAATCTGTTTTAGAAAGATCCGCTGTCAAAATGCAGCTGTAGCGGCAATGTGAGTACATGCTCTGTTAAGATCTTTTCAAGCTGATATTAATTTCCTTATTTGGAATCTTCACTTTGAAATTACTCTTTTGCAGGTGACCAATTGTTTGTGTCTGCCCATTCCTTCTGTAAGTATAGTAAAAGCATATAATCTTGATCTCCTTTTTTAAGTGTTTAAGCAAAACTAATTGCTTTCTTGGTATTTTAGATAAGCAAGTGTTTCCTAATTATGGTTGTTACAGATTAGTATTTCCTTTCAAGACCAGGCTCTGGTGATTCTACCATATATCAATATAGATTTATTTGTAGTTGGTCAGCTATATGCTCCTTGAGAAGTTGGGCCGCTTTTTTTTTTTAATGTATATTTTATTAATTTTTTTACAGAAAGGAAGAGAGAGGGATAGAGAGTTAGAAACATCAATGAGAGAGAATCATCAATCAGCTGCACACCCCCTACTGGGGATGTGCCTGCAACCAAGGTACATACCCTTGACCGGAATCGAACCCAGGACCTTTTAATCCGCAAGCCGACGCTCTATCTACTGAGCCAAAACGGTTTCGGCTGGGCTGCTTCTTAATATTTAAAAAAAGGATCTTGATTGTCCCTTTAAATTAGTGGTGCCAGGTGCATGGTTAAATAAAACTGGAACTGAGATGACAACAAATGATACAGCCCATATCATATTACTTCCTAATGCATCTGACGATACCTCTAAGGTTGCAAAGCAATGTAAATAAAAGGGCAACGCTTCATCTTTTCTCTGGACGCACTGTCTACCCAGCTGCTGCGGGGCCTCTGGGAGGACAGCAGCCAAGGCCATGGGTTGGGGGAAGTGGGAAGGGCTTTTGGAAGTTCACTGGCCTCTTGAGTGGCAGAAACTTTCTGGCTAAGGTGAGGAGGAAGCGCTTATCCAAGGGGCTCTGCTTTGCTTTCTCTGAAGCAAGGACTTCGAGAACCAGAGCTCCCGCCCCAGCTGAGGTCAGGCCCACACGCAGCTGAGAACGGACAGGCAGCATCACGCCCGCCCCTCGTCCCAGCCCACGTTAGCTCCTGTAGAAACACGCTGCATTCCTGGCCACATCCCTCCCGGCTGGTGTGGAAGGGCTTTTTCTTCCCTGACTTTCAAACTCGCTATCGCAAGGCTCGGGACAGGCAGCATGGTTTGACAAGGAGACTCGGAACTGGCTGATCTCCAGGGCCAGCAGGCCTCAGGCTCCCTGGGTGGGACATCCTGAAACCTGCAGGGGTGTCGCTGCGGACAAAGGGCCTCCCCCAGAACCACCGGTCCGGACTGGCCAGGGCTGTGGTCCCTTCAGGCTACATTGGTTAAATTAAAACAGTGCCTCACAGCATTCCTTTTCTAACTTTCTCTGCTGAAACTCACCCTTTCTCCTCCCCAGGACAACTGCACCACACCCTGCTTCCAGGAGGGCCTGGCCCAGATGGCCAACTCCACGGTGAGAGCGAGCTTCCCCCTGGTTTTCAACCGGGTGAGGAAGACGGTCTCAGTCCTGAAGAGCAAGTGCCCGGTGAGTGTGCTTTCTCTCCTCGGTCCGCTGTCTCTGTGTGAACGTAATGCCACGACTGTGTGAGTGAGAATGGATACGAGGGTGGAACTGGTCGAGAAGAGACCTATCGGAAAAGGAATCAGAACAACGGATTTAAGCGAGCGCTGCCTCGGACAGCCGATGTTCCCTAGCTTTAAAGACACCTCTGTCGCCATTTCCTTCTCTCCACCTACTGCATCCTGAACAAATGCATCTGATCGTAATTGGATGCTAAAATCCAGGGAGCCCGGGCCATAGCCAGGGAACACTAATGTATCCAGAGATTCAGTTAGCTAACCTGTTAGCAACAGAATGGCAGGAATAGTCTGCAAGTTAGAGAAGGTTTGGGGGTGGATTGGCTAATCGGGTGTTCAAAGGAAAACTCACCCAGATCCAGGTGAAAAGTTTGCCGTTTGCTCTATAGGCCCATCAGCACGTTACCTTCTGCAGCCTCTACCGGGCCCTGGAGGGCAGCGGTGGGGAGTGGGCACCTCGGGAGTTAGCATCGCCACCTGAGCTCGGAGAAGGCTGAGGACCCTTTGCTCAGCTGCCTAACGGAATGCATTTCTACCACCAACAGCATGTGATTCTAAGGGCTTACGTATACCATTTCATTGTGTAGCTACCTTGCAGACTTGCCAGGTTTATCACCCTCACTTTAGAGAGGAAGAAACTGAGGCTCAGCGAGGTTACCTAATTTTCCTAAGGCTACATCTGTACTAATAAAAGGGTAATATGCCAATTTGTCCTTCTGGACAAAGCCATGGTGGTGGGGGCCAAGGCAGGGAGTAGTTAGGGAGTGATCAGGCAGGCAGGTGAGCAGTTAGGAGCCAGCAGGGATGGGGCCTAAACCAGCAGCCCTACATCCCCTGAGGTGTCCCAGATTGGAGTGGGTACAGGCTGGACTGAGGGATCCCCTTCCCCATGCATGAATTTCGTGCACCAGGCCTCTAGTAATTTAATAAGTGGCAAACCTGAGATTAGAATTCTGGTCAATGTGACCTCAAGGCCCTGCCCTTTACCACTGTGCTATGAATTACCTTGAAAGGACAACCCAAAAGGACAGTAACAAAATTGTTGGCCCCAAAGAGTCCCAAGAAAAGGTTTTCCCTAATAGATTTAGGACTATTTTATAGGGGTGGTGTGTGTGTGTATGTGTGTGTGTGTATCCTGAAATCTTACCACAAAGTCAGCTACCTGCGTGGCTACACAAAATGCTAGTCTGGGCCTCCCCATCCATTTGCTCTGTTCTCAAGCTCCCTGCTGCCTGCCCAGCCTCTGCCCCAGGAACCCCCTCCCCTCAGCAGGTCCTGGGCAGGGCAGCTCCTGGGCTGCTGGTTCCATGCTGCTATAGTCACTCGGTCTTTGTTCACTTTCTTCCCCACAGAATTTCTCCTGTGAGCAGCCGTGCAACCAAACCGCTACGGGCAACACACTGACGTTTCTCAGCAGCCTCCTGGGAGTTTTCCAGAAGGAAAGGATGAGAGGCAGAGCATAGAGATAAAATAGTATTTATTCTATTTATTAAAAGCTTCCTCTTTAAGTTGTTGCAATTTAAAAATTAAGTAAGCCACGCTAAATCAAAATCAATTGTTATATTTTTTATACTTAAAAATATATGTTTGTTTAAAATTTTATATCTTTATTTTGGAATAAATATATATGGGAAAAACAACAACCATCTGGTCTCCAGGTGCTGATTCCCACCTTGCTGCTCAAAACAAAGCAATAAGCTCTGCCAAAGGGCTGATGGCTGCAGGGGGGGGGGGGGGGGGGGAGCCTGGGGCTGTGGGTGGACCTGAGCATTGCTCCTGGGGGACCAGGATGTGCCGAGGCGCCCTCTGTGGATACTGGGGAGGGAGGTTCAGGCATCGCCAAGAGTTTGGGGCCCTGAGAGACTAAGTTGGGAGAAGCTAGCGGTTTGACAAGCCCAGAAGTGGGGAGAGCACTCAGGAATGCGGGCATGTTTACGCACAGAAAGTGCTGGGGCCGAGCTGGGAGCAAGACATGGAGCAGGCGCCGGGTCAGAGCACAAACCAGAGGAACCCTGGGATCCATACAGCCGGCCCCATAAACACCCCCGGCGAGCACCTCCACGGCCAGGCAGTGCCTGGCTGGGTGCAGAGGAACTGGGGTGGTCTGACCGTCAGAATGGCCCCCTCCCCTGCAGGCCGAAGGCTTCAAGCTTGGGAAGCGCTTGGGGACACCTTGGATGGGGGTGTTTTCCTGGGCACTGTCAGGAGCAGAAGTGCTTCCCTCCCTGTTGGGCTAGACTTCTTGGGAACTTTGGGCCACACTGACATGGGAAGTTTAGAGCACCAAGAGACAGAATTTCTCCAGGGGCTTTGCTCAGCTTTTCTTTTCAATCAACTGCAACCTCCACCACATCCCATGTGACCTGCACTGCAAGCAGCCCCTGGCCAAAGTGAGGCTCTCTGAGGAGCTAAATGGCCGGGTCCCTGGGGCTGTGAGGAGGGCAGGCACAAGCTTGCCCCTAACCCCTCTCCTGCAGCCCAGCCCCTCCCACAGAGAATGAAAAAGGAGTTTTAGCAAAGGAGGCCCATGTCAGGGGAGGGTTTTATCTTCTTGGGGACAGAAATGGTGGGTCCCTGATGATAGTTCATCATACTTTTTAAAATCTTAGTTTGGACTGAAAGATACATTTCTCAGCGATGAGCTTGCAGGGTTGTGTGTGTCAAAGGTAACAAGTTGGATTTCTAAGTCTAGAGGCACCACTAGGTGAGCCTTCATCCTCCCTCGGGGCTCAAGGCCACCCAGCATTTTGCAGGGGACACAGACCTTAAGACGAATAGACCATCGTCACAGTTTGTTGACCCACCTGCTTCTCTCGAGAAGTGAAAACGTTGTGTGGCAGTGGTGGGTGGGACGCAAGTTCTAGCAAGGTTTCTGGGTGTGGGAATTGGTGTTTCCTAGGCTCTCCCAGCATCTGCTCTGTGGTTCCTTCCCTGAGACTCGGCGCCCTCCCCTTCACGCACGGTGACCCCTGCACGCAGAGGGCTGTCCTGCCTGTCTCCCTAGCTTGGTTGTGGATTCCCACGGACAAGCTGAGGAAAGGATCTATCAAACAATACATTTATTAGCATTCGTTAATACTGGCTTGTAATATTAAGCACTTACTCTAAGCATGCCTCCTCTCGGTCAGTCCCCTAGTGGCTGTGCGGGTGCGCGTTGTGATTCCTGTGAGACAGAGAGGGAAACGGAGGCTCAGAGAGGCGGGATGATCTCCCCAGGACCAGCTGGGCAGCGTTAGACCCCAGTCCGCCCCAGCTGTCTCAGATTTGCAAAACCCTTGCATTTCCCGTCTGCTCCTACTCTGTGAATACCAGCTGCCTATGCGGTGCTCCCTGACTGCAGTCTGAGGGTAAAAGAGATTTAAAATAACAGGAGCCCAATAAATAAATAAATAAATAAATAAATAAATAAATAAATACCAGGAGCCCACACGCCCGTCTCCAAAAGCCTGGGGCCCGGGTAGTCTTCAGCAGGGAGATGGCTTAGCCGTTTAGGAAGGAAATACCCAGTGCACTCGTCCTATATTACGTAACACCCAGAGCAGGGCCCGGCGGGATTCCGTAATGAAAGCCATTAATATTCTGCAGCGAACACAGGAGCCGCCACATGAGGTGATCAGGTTTGGCAGCCAAATGAGCCTGGACAAACGCTGGGCTGTGGGGGTTGTTTGGACTCAGAATTGTGCTGAGGGCTGAGGGCCCTTCTCCGCCCGGCTCTGGCCCCTCCCAGAGGGCTCTCCCGGGCTTACCTGGGCCGGGCGGGCTGGGCGTCTCCGGGAGGGACACAGGCTTCGGCAGCTACCGATGGCCGGCCATGTGGGTCGGCCGTGCTACAGGGCCTTCTCTCCTCTCCTCCCCTCCCCTCCCTCTGGGTTTGCTGAGTGACTGTCCCAGAGCAGCTGTGACGCGTTACGCAATGTGGTTTGCAGGCCGCAGTCTCGGCTTCCTCCCCCTGCAAGCACACCCACGCTGAGATCACGGCGGGGGCAGATGCCGGCGATTGGGCTCAGAACAAACCTGGGAGCACAATCACCGCCCGGAGAGGTGGGCAAAGACATGAGCTGCACCCCGCGGCCACAGGGTCACCCCCAGCGGGGCTTGGTGGTTTCCCTGGGCTTTCCCGCAGGACCCACCCCTGCGGCAACCTTAAAGCTGGCTTCTCTTCCCCGGGGGTCTGGGTGAGGTGCCTCCCCTCCCTGTGCCCCGAGAGCTGCGATTTCTCTAGAAGGAGAACACATTTACGGAGCTAAACTGTACGGAGCTAAACTCTGTGCACAGCATGCTTTCCGGAATGTATAGTTGGATCTTTACCACCCCTCCCCGCCCCCTCCTCAGATATATATGTAATTGTTTCATATAATTGTTCCCAGTGTACAAAGGAGGAAACTGAGGCCCAGAGAGGTTACACAACTTGCCTGGGGCGCACTGCTTACAAGTGGTCAAGCCAAGGTCCTTGCTCAGGTAGCAGACTCTAGAGCAGTGGTTCTCAACCTTTCTCAATATAGTTCCTCATGTTCGAGACCCACAGGTTGAGAACCGCTAGCAGCGTCGCCTAAGACCATCAGAAAACACAGATATTTACATTACGATTCATTAACAGTAGCAGAATTACAGTTATGAAGTAGCAACAATAATAATGTTATGGTTGGGGGTCACCACAACACAAGGAACTGTATTAAAGGGCCTCGGCATTAGGATGGTTGAGAACCACCGCCCTAGAGCCAACTCCTCAATCTGACCAGCAGGGGCTTACAGCTCTCTGCATGTCAGCCGCCTCGTCCATGTTGCTAGGACCCGGGCTAAGTTGTTTCCAAAAGAGATTCCAGACCAGGCCACACCGCTGCTGGCAAAGCCACACCCCGATGCTGCTGGCCTTGAGTTGACCAGTCCCCATGCATCTGTTTCTCTATCTTCCCACCCAGCCAGTTTGAAACGAGACAATATTGTAAAGGCTCAACCCTGTGGTTCCTTCCCCACCCAGACCAAGCCCTCTCTTCCTCTGAAGGAAGCCTTCAGCAGAAATACAAAGACCATTCGCCCGTGTAAAGTGGCTAATTCAATAGCCTGTCCCATAGTCTCGGGGTTGGGCAACCATCACCACAATCTAATTTGAGAACATTTCACCACCCCTGGAAGAAACCCTGCACACATCTGCAGCCATTCCCTATCCCCCCTTCCTTCTTGCACTTAGCACGGTACTTTGACATTTCATTCACAATGTGGCAGGTATTGATGCTGACCTTCAGTACTGTCAAATCATATTCTATTTTATGGATATGCTGCATTTTATTTGCCCATTTATCAGTTGATGGGCGTTTGGGATGATTCCACCTTTTGGCCATTATGAATAGTGCTGCCATGAACATTCATGTAAGGGTTTTTGTGAGGACATAGGTTTTCACTTCTCCTGGGTTTACATCTAAGAGTGGAGTTGCTGGGTCACATGGTAATTCCCGCTTAACTTTTGGAGGAACTGCCCAACTTTTTCCAAAGTGGCTGCACCGTTTCATATTTCCACCAGCATGAGGTCTCCAGCTTCTCCACATCCTTAGCAACACTTGTTATCTATCGTTTTCATCGTAGCCATCCCAGTCCAATTATCTCGCTGTGAATTTATTTTTCTAATAACTAGTGTTGCATCTTTTGACGCATCTGTTCGTGTGCTCCTTGGCCACTTACATTTCTCCCTTAGAGAAATGTCTCGTCAAACACCTGGACCAGAGAGGGGCATGGGTGTGTCATGGGGTACAGCAGAGAGGCCCTGGGTGGCAGAGATGGCATCATGGGCCACGTGGCCAGGGCCAAACGGGAATGAAGATGCTTCCACAGAAGCCACCGCGGAGGAAAGGCCAGGACGTAGGACTACGAGGGGGGATGCCAGGAATGGGGATGTGTCTCCCACGAGACAGAAACTTCTCCTATACCCCAAACCCCCAAATCTAACTAGGGATGGGAGGAGAAGGAGAGAATCCTGAACTGGCTGCGTTTCACTTGTGATTTTGGAATTTTATCCTGAAATGGCAAAATTACTTTTTCTGCCATCACGTATAATGGATGTTTGAAAAAATACTAAATTTAGTTCATTTGTTTTGTACGCACCTGAAGCCGTGGTGAGTCACTCAGCAAACACCAATAAAGCATGCAGGGAGCGCCAGGTGCTGACCTGGGCAGAACAGTGGATGGGGCAGCACCCTCTGAGTCTGCAGGCGTGTGGGGGAGAGAGACTGGCCTTCGCTGCCCGGAGGCGGAGGGGCAGGGCACTGGGAGGGGTCTTGTGACTGGCAGGGGTGACTGGGCCCAGAGAATACTGGCCCCTCCTCACTTTCAGCCAGAGCTGGAAGCAGTGATCCTGTGGATGGCTTTTCTGGGTCCGAGGTGCTTATGGGTTGTACTCCTCTGCTGGACAAATGTTTCCTAGAAATTTCTTTGATGTCGGCCTGAGAGAGGGACCAGAACCCTGAAGGACCCAAATCAATGACTCGTCAGACACCCTGGGCACAGAAGGGCCATATCAGCATTCTGCAAGCACCCCTCCCCAAGTACGCATATCAGATGTTCACACATCGGTCCAAAGGCCTAGGAGCCAGGCATCGGGAGCTCTGGGGGTTCACCTGCAGAGACAAGGCCCAGGAAGCACCGCTGCAGCCATCCTCTGTGGCCCCCTGAAAAATGCAAACATTCCAGATGTACAGAGAGGAAGGCAGGCCAAGAAAAATCACAGGGACCCTTCTCCCTCCCTCTCTGACCATCCTCCAACTTCTGTTTTGCACTTTAGAGTTTAGAAAACCACTTTTGCACTTGATTCTTATTGAAGCCTGGAAGGTAAGTAGGGGTACTCTATGGCCATTTTACAGATGAGGAAACTGAGGCGCAGCAGAAGCAAAAGCTTGCCAAGGCCTCGCAGCTAGCTGATGACAGACCTGGAACTAGAACCCAAGGCCAAGGTCTCCCTAGTCTGAGGTTCGTTCCACAGAGAAGTAAAAAAACAATAAGGGAGGCAGGAGACCCCAAACACAGGAAGAGTAGTTACAGGGCCCAGACGCTCTTATCACTGAGGCCAGGGTCACAAGCCAACAGAAGCCTATGCCTGTGCAGGATTTAGTTGACCTCTGCTGCCATCAAGTGGTGATTCTGCCACTTACCAGCCAGGAAAGCCTTTGTGCAACATTTTGTGTGTGTGTGTGTGTGTGTGTGTGTGTGTGTGTGTGTGTGTGTAGCAGCTGCTCAAAGGAGTCCTGGAGTCCAAACAGTTTTCATATAACAGAAGATGGTATCTGCCCTCTCCACTCTCTTTTCACACGAGTGTGCTATGGAGCTTTCCCCAGCCTACACGGCGACTGACATCACAACGGATTGAAAGCAGAAGCGTATGGGGATCTGCCTGTCCTCTAGGTAAGCCAGAAGTTAGGGAGATTTGCAAAAACGTAACAGTGCAACGCTTTCATTGTCTATTTTTTGGGGAAAACATAGCTATTTTCATAAAAATGTTATTATTTTAACATGTAATAGGGTTATTATGCTTTATATAAGTATTTTTAAAATTCTCTTTTAATTTCTGGTAGGTATTACAATCTGCATAAACAAAAGTTCTCTGTAATTTTGAAGAATGAACGGGACCTCTGTTGAGAACTGCTGTTATAGAGTGTCAACTGGTGGTTGTTGGCACCAATTCAATGCCAACAAGAATGCCCTTTGGGGAAGCAGTGAAGAAGAAAACTTTATTCGGTGCAAACACAGCTGTGGAACAGCTGAATGGGGATACAGCATGGCTGTGAAAACAGCACAGCTACAGAACAGCTCTGGGCCAGGGGTCCTGGGGCCAGGCCCCTCTCCCGCTAGACAGCTCTGCTCTGCTCCTCGCAGGTCTGCTTCACTCTGCTCTGGCGAAGCTTTGGTGTTTCAGCTCAGCCAGGGAGATGACACTTCATTCCTTTATTTTCTTTTTCTTTCTTCGATTTTTTAAAATTTTTTTTGAAAGAGAAATATCAATTTTTTGTTCCACTTATTTATATAATACATTCATTGGTTGATTCTTGTACGTGCCCTGGCTGGGGATGGAACCCACAACCATGATGTATAGGGAACAATGCTCCCACCAACTGAACCACCCAGCCAGGGCCCCAGCTTCATTCTTATGGGGACAGAAATCCCTGCCCATGGTCCCTGATTGGTCTGTCTCTTGCAAATGAGGGCTCCAAATCCTTGCAGTTTGATTGGCCCAAAAGGCAATGTCCTGATTGGTTAAAATAGCCACTCTGGTCACAGCTGTGCAGCTCTGATTGGCTTGGGAAAGCCTCAATCCTACTGGTTGAATAGAATTTCAGGAAACCTTTGTAAGGCTGGCTCCGATGGCAGGAACACAGTGCAGGCAGGCAGCTTAGCACAGGCTTCTCTGTGAAGTGCAGTTAGCATGACAGGCTCCATGCAGGAATGGCTGCTACGCTGTTTTTTGTTTTGTTTTTAAATATGAGCCCAGTTCATCACCTGGAGCCCTTCTTAGTAGCTGCCTTCCCCACGGCCTCAGGGCTCACAAGAGTAATGGTAATTGTTCCTTTTCCTCCGATAACAGGAATGCTCCCTGTTCATGAAGGTCAAGGTGTCCAGGCTAAAGAAAAGAAGAGGCAGTTAGCCTGGAGGGTGGTGGTCAGACAGGAGCTGATCCCATGGGTTTGTTGGATACTTACTCATTCCTTCAACAAACATTTAAATGCCCACACGTGCCCGGCATTGGATGGGATGGGAAAGCTGTTGGAAGTACAGGGATCCTGGGCCAGAGCAGTAAGAGGTGGGTCTGGAAGAGCAGCTCTGATGGGGATTGCTAAACGCCTTCACTGACAGTTCAGGACTCTGTACATCACACAGGTGCCCCGGCAGCTTTCTCTTTTCCACTAGGAAATGCGGTTCCAGGGCTGGACAGCTGGGAGCAGTGTGGCCTCAGGATTATCAGATGGAACTGGAAGTCCCGCTGTCAGCAGGAGCTGGGTACATTGAAGCCTGTTTCTCCATCTGTGAACTTGGTCAGCAAGGCCTCTTTCTGTTTACCTCCTCCTCTCAGGAGCGGATCAGAGAAACTGCAGAGGATTCTGACCCTGGAGAAGGTTGTTTCTTGGATCTCAGCCTTATCAGGGCGTCCAGCAGAGGCCCTTGCTGGCCTTGTGAACACACCACCACTTCCAAACAAACCGGGCAACCGGGACCAGACAGTGGACATCTCTTCACCAGCGTCCACGGGACCTGCCCAGGACCAGGGGTGCTGGGTGGGCAGACCCACCTGTCCTGTCAGTAGAGCATACCCCAGAATGGAGTGCTGCTGTCCCTGACACAAAGGACAGAGTCTGCACGTAGTAGGTACTCAACGAATGCTTGATGACCGGTGGAGGGATGGAGAGTTGGACTGCAGCCTGTGGATCTGCCCGAGGGACACACACACACACACACACACACACACCCATTGCCAGGGGCTGTGAGGCAGGAAGATCAAGGAGGGCACACTGAGGGTTTATTTCAAGGAGGGAACCCTTTGCTGAAGCATCAGGATAAACAATGAGGCTGAACACCTTCAACTTGCTTACGCCTGAAAGGTGCTGTGCCTTGGTGCTGGGTCTGGTAGGGCAGGGAATTTTCAGAGACATCTCTGAATTGCTCAAAGGGTTGGAAAGGAGTAGGGAAATCATGGAGAGGGGGGAGAGAAGAGAAACCTAAGGATATTTTCACCACTGGTTTTAAGCCAGGAATGGCAAGTAGATTCCTCCTGACTGGTGGGTGGTGGCTGCTCAGGCACTGTGCTGAGGAGGACTCTGAAGCTGCCTCCAGCTCCACAGTGGAGGCTCTCTGCCTGGTTAAAGATGCCTGTTGTTGGCACAAAAACTGGGAGGGACATCACTCTCACGAGCAATGGCCTCCCCACATGGCTCCAGTGAGAAACACAATTTAGAATCATGACATCATTCTGGAAACCGGGCTGTGGACAAAGCATTTTATTTTGCCTCATTTTGTTCTCCATGTGAAAAGAAGGCCCCGAGAACGCCCACCCCACTCGCACCCAGTGCCCCGCTTCTGGAGTGCGTGCCCAGCACGTACTGCTGGCTGCGTGGGGAGAGTGCCGGCAGGGCTTCCTCTCACTCTGTGGCCCCTTCCCCCGCCGCCCCCTCCCTGCCCTCCATAGGCAGCTGGGAAAAGGGAAGTGAGGCTTCTCACCTGATGGAATGGCCTCTTCACTGGTGACTTCTACAGGGGTCTAAACAGAGGGAAGAGGGTGGCCTGTGTCTCTTGGAAGCCAGGCAGAAGCATCCGATACAGAAATGACCTGAAGAAGTTTTCATTGTTTTTATTTGGAAACTTAGAGACAACTTCAGCGCCTCTGTGAATTTCCCGTGAGTTTACAGCAGTCGTGGGAAGCAGGTCTATGTCGCCCTACTTTCTGCTGGTGCCAGTGCAGATGAAAAATAGGTGGCGATCTATCAATGGTCCGGCTCGGAGGGGAGGAGCAGAGTGCTTGCAATCGGAAGGAAGGGGCTTGGTTTGGAGGTTAGCAGGTTCTGGAGAGGCCTCGCCCTGCAGGGAATGAGGCCCTGGTCCATGACACCAGCCCTGGCCCTGAGGGAAAAGGAGGAAAGGTAAGGCTTTCATGCAACCAGTCAGCAAGATCTAACAGTCAAACCATCCATTCAGAGCTGCTTGGGTGAAGCAACCACTGGCAAAAATTCACCATGAGAACAGGCCAGAGGGAGGCTAAGAGGTTGTCTAGGTTACCGTCAAACCTCGATTTTCTGTACCGAACATCTCCCATCTCCAACAGTTGGCTTCTCAACCCGACAACCTTTTTGTGCTATTACCTGTATGGTCAGTCAGACATTGCTTAGGTGAATAACAAAAGATAGAATGCGTGACTATGAGTCAGTTTATTGCTAAACTGCATGTTAACTTCTCAGGAAATTGTGCTGTGACTATTTGTGCTGTGTGTTTTGTTGCTGCTTATTATTATTAAAATTTATTTTTTACTGTACATTTCATGTCCTTTTTGTTAAATTTTCATTTACATTTCATGTCCTTTTTGTTTTAAAGTGTCTATAGATTAAACAGTACATTAGGCATGTGCTGTATGTAATATATACTGAGAGTATGATGCTGAGTGAAATAAGCCAGTCAGAGAAAGACAAATATCACATGATCTTACTTATAAGTGGAATCTAATGAATATAATAAACTGATGAACAAAATAGATCCATAAACATGGAGGTATACAACACTGATATATCTCAGGGGGATGGGGTGGGGGGCAGGAGGAGACGGGAAGAGATTAGCCAAAGGACTCATATACGTTTACGCATAACCAAGGAGCACAGACAATAGTGTGGTGAAGGCCTAGGGCGGGATAAGGGTGGGTGGGGGGGTAAAGGGGAGAAAAATTGGGAGAAAATTTTAAAGAAAGAAAGATTAAAGCAGAATCATTTGGGGGTCTGGAATGGATTAATTCTATTTACATGATTTCTAGTGGGGGGAAAAAGACTCAGTTTTCAAACAGCCTTCCAGAATGAATTAAGTTTGAGAACCAGAGTTCCACTATATTTGCATGTTTTTTTAAAAATGGGTGGGAGAGAGACTGAATCTAGTTCCCTTGAAAATGAATTTTCCTGACATCGAAAGTAGACCAATGAGGTTTGGAGCACGAAAGTCATGGCAGGGGCAGAACAGCATTATTTCTGGAAGGTTCTGGAGGTGGGGGATCCAGGTGGACAGGTAGGCGTGGTGCACTGGGTTCACAGGCCTCAGACATGCCCAAGAACTGACCGCTGACCAGTGACCGGGCCCCCTTTCTATCACCGAAGGTCATCTCCCTCGCATAGCCTGACTCGGTTTCCCCATGTGAACAGATAAAACCACATCACGAAACCACCACATCATGCGTCTTTCACGTGGGTGCAAATGGTCCGTGGGTCACTCTTGTGTTGACCCAGAGAGAGCTAACTGAGCAGGCGGCTGAAAAGAAAGTTTGGGAGCAGGGGAGCACTCTGCATCTGGTTGTTAGATGGAAAAATCGTATACCTACGGATGAGGACAGTGCGGGGGGAGGCGGGGGGAGGTAAGGGCAGAGGGTGGGGGGAACTGGGTGGAGGGGAGCTATGGGGGGGAAGGAACAATTGTAATCATCTGGTTGTTAGATTGAGGCTGATGCTGACTGGCACTGCTGTGTCCTGCAGGCACAGGAAAGCAAGTCCATGGATCCCCACTCCTGCCCTGGGCACTTCTGAGATGGTCACTATCCGACTTCCCTAGTTCTCCAATGACATCATCTCACCGTCTCCAGTTTAGACTGGGGAGGGAGGGAGGCACTGGTTTCCATGTGCTCGAAGCGTGGATGCTACCCTGGCCTGATCCATGACTGGCCCGAGATCTCAGAGCTGGGAGGTGAATTCAAAGCCACGACCTGTGAGAGGGTCTTGGTGTTCTTGGGTCAGAGCAGGAAGTTGGTCTCCTGGGGTGAGGCTTGTTTAAGATGGGGCTCCAGAAAAGTCTCTGGGACACCCTCCCCCCAGTTCCTGCTGGGCGCACCCGTCTCCTCCCACCCCAGCAGACATCTGTGCCCTGGATGATCAGAGCACTTTCAGGAAGAAATGCTTCCAGTCGGGGTGGTCACTGGCCCGAAGGGCCGAGTCCAGAACAATCGGGGTTTGGTGTGCTAGAAACTCCTTCCTTCCTCCTGAAGCAGCCCATCACCAGGGGGGTCACAGTGACAGACTGCCAGCGTCCAGCCAGGCGGGGATCGGCCAGGCCTTGGCATTAAACCACCTTGCGGCTGAAGACTTAAGGACATGGGCGAACGGTCCTGGACTGTTAAACAGGAGAGATTATAAAACATCGTGGGAAGTAGGATCCCATTTTGGGGCTACACATAAAAAACACAGAAAATAATAGAAAGGTCTTGGAATGATAGGGTTTTTGTTTGCTGTTCTTTCAGTTTATTTCTTTTTTCTAGTTTTCTAGAAATAAAACGCATTGATTTTATTATAGGATTTTTTTTTTTTTAAAGGGGGGAATGGCCCATATCGGAGCAAAGCTTTAAGAACCAGACCTCCCTCCCCTGCCTTGGACATACCCTAGTACAGTAACTTGTCACCCAAGATGTTTAATTATGCGAAAGGCATTGCTGCTCTCTTCCTTTTATAAGAGGGGGGAAAGCCAGGGAATTTGTGAATGGGGTGCTTCAGGAAAGAGCTGAAAGCATTGGCTCTAAAGCCCATGTCCAGGGCAATCCGTGGCTTCCTCTAGCCAGCTCCATCTGCCTTGTCCTCCCCCGGCCTGTCCAGGCATCCCATAGGGCTCAGCTTCCTCAAGGGAGTTTTGCTAGACCGTCCTAATGAAGACCATCCTTCCTGAGAGAACCTGCAGTCACTACAGCCAAAGCAAACCTGTTTCTGGGCAACTAGAAAAGCCAGCCACTCACCTCCTCAGACTCACTTTGTCACTGAGCTCTGCGAGGGACCGGTTTGGGCCAGGGGAGGAGAAACAAGAGAGCAGAAGGAGAGAAAGAACTGAGAAGATAGTGACGGTTGATCTTCCAGCCACTTGGTGATATTTGTGAGTGGCCATTCATGTGTCAAGCTCTGTGAGGAGACACAGGCCACCGAGGTGAAATAACAGTCACAGTTCTTCTGGGACTTTCACGCTGGCTGGGAGTGAAGAAAATCACCAGGCAGTTACCATGCAGGGGGAAGTGGTAGGGGCTGAGCAGGGGTTGTGGGAAGGAGCCGATAGTGGGCACAACTCCTGGCTGAGGCATCAGGGCAAGCTTCCTGGAGGAGGAGACTTCTAGACCAAGGCCTGGATGACAAAGAGTTGATGAGCCAAGAACCATGGGAAAAGTGTGAAAACAGCTTGGGGACAGGGACAGCATTGCACAGTCACAGAAATAAGAGTGAGAATAGTTTACAGAGGATGGTGGTGTGGACGAGGTGGTTAAGGACTGATGCTTTACCTAGTGGGTAATGGGGAGCCATTGAAGGCATTTGAGCAAGGGAGTCTCTTACTCAGATTTCTGTTTTTAGATGCTTTGGGCCAGTGATCTTTCTGCAATAAAGAAAGGAGAAGGAAAGGGTATGTGTGTGGGGGTGGGGGGTGGGAAGGCGGGGGGTGTGAGGAAATGGGGCAGAGGCTGTCCCCTAGAGTTCTGGGAGCCTGCTGGTGGCTCTCAGAGTCAGGCGGTGAGTTCAGTTGGAAAATGGTGCCCATGTGTCAGGGGTGGGTACCCTGGTTTTTGAGTCCTCACTTCTGAGGATTAACACAGATTAGGCAGGAAACCAATGCAGGGAGACATTTTCATGGTTAAGAAGAGAGTTTCAAGCTCTGGGAGGCGCAACTGACCTGGAGCTCAGGGGCTGGTCACCGGGTAGTCCCCTCTGAAGGCCCGCAGCGAGAGCTCGTACCCCAGGAACATGGCTGCGCTCATGGGGAAGCCCCGCACAGCGTTCACCGTGATGCCTCTGAAAAACACCTGTGACGGGACGGCATTATCACCGGGGGCCCGACCGCACCTCTGCAGGGCCACAGCGAGGGTAGGGGGGTGGGGCTGGTGGTGATGGCCGCTCAGGCCTGTCTTGGGCTGGGCCCTGCAGAGCCCAAAGCACCTGTGCTGCCTGGGATGCCCAGCCATGCCCTGCCCTGACCCAGGTCATGTTGGATGGCACTTCTCCTGCAGGCCTGGCGCACATGCACTGTGACAAAACTGTTGAATCCTGTGAACACCACATCTCCTTGCTTAATTGCTGCCCTCTCTTGTGAGCACACACATACACACATGCACACACATGCGTGTGCACACATGATTTTCAGGAATCTAGAAGTCAGAACTCCCTTCTCCTCTTTGCAATGGTGGACAGAGCACCAGCTCCAACCAATACAAGAACAGGTGCTTCCTGGCACATCCCCAGGGACCAGTGGGGAGAACTCAGGCCATGTGAAGAGGGCAGACACAGAGTTGAGGCACAGTTGTGCCATTTAGTAGCCGTGTTATTTCAGCAAGTGGCAGCCTCTGGAATCTTAATTTTCCAATAGTAAAAGGGGGGTGATTATGCTACTGACCTGATACAGTTGATGAGGGAATAAAAGAGATGACTGCTGTGGAGGACGGACTCAGTGTTGACTAGCACATCACCATCCTTGTGATCTAAAGTCATTGCTTTGGACAGAGTGGCACCCAACCTCGATCACTCATGTGAGGGCCTCAGGGAGGTGGCCTGTTGATGAGCCGCTAGCCTTGGCTTTAATACAAGAAGACTGTTTGCCTTCCCTTCCAGGGAATACGATAAGGTGCTTTCCCTCCTCCCGAATCCTCTTGCCTGGTGCAAGAAGACACTAATCAATGTGACCTAATTCCAGCCCTTGGAAAGTTTATAACCTACTAAAGGAGCTAAGCCCCACTCAGGAATAATTACAACATAATGTAGAACGTGATGAGAATAGATAAGGGCTTTGGTGAGCGGTGGGGTAGAGAGGAACCGTCCTTACATGTCCTCCCTGGACAAAACATCTAAAGGCAAATTCCTATCCAAGCATAAATGACACGGTAACTGTCAGGCATAAGATGCAACTCTGTTAACTGACTCCTGTATAATTTACTACGTTTATGAGTTAGGGCTGGTATTGTAATTTTAGGGGAGTGGAAATCCAGCCCTTTGCATTCCCTGTTTGCTTAGTCAAGCACTGTGGTGTCAGGTTAGGTGTAGGCCACTGACAGGGGACCTTCCTTCAGGAGCGATGCCTGCGTCTTGCCACTCCGTGGCAGCCGGGGAGACGCAGCTGGATGGAAGGGGAGAGAGGGCCTTGTGAACTTGGCAAGTCTGGGTCCTGGGGGAAGGGAGCTGATAGACAGGATCCAAGAGGTGAGCAAGTGGCTCCTCCAAACCTTGGAGCAATTCAGATAGGGGGCAATGGGGATCCTTGGGACATTAGCTTTCCTTTCTCATGTGTAACCTTTCTGGAATTCCACAGGCTCACCCTGAGTGACTGAATAACAGCCAGGAACCGAGTCAGGCTCTGGAGGGAAATTCCTTGCTAGGTGCCTCAGAGGCTCCCCTGCAAGGCAAGCCAGGCAGATCCTCCTGTCCCATAGCACTGGGCCCTGCAGGAGCCCTAGGCCACTTTAGACAGACAGACAGACAGACACTCCTCCCTCCAACAGCTGCAGCAGCTCTGCCTCTGCTCTGCGAGGCTGAAAGGTGGCTAACAAAATGCACACCTCTGACTTTCACTGTGGCTCTCAGAACACAAAAAACACTGCACTGAGTTGTTTCTCACGAAGCCTCAATGGCTCCCCACTGCCCAAGGTCAAGAGAACACCCTACCCTGGCCTGTCAGGACCCACACCCTCTGTTCCTGCTCTTTCCCTGGACTGCCTCTTACACCTCGCACCTGTCACTCTGGACCACATGTGTCAAACACAAGCCCCGCGGGCCAAATCCGTCCTGCCAGGCCTTGCAATGTGGCCCGCACCGCGCTGTCATCACTGCACTCCGCTGCGTTTCCATCACAATGACAGTTTATGACTGTTCAGTAAACCATTCGGCCCGCGATTTAGGCTGGATTTTAGATTTTGGCCCCTTCTCTGATTGAGTTCGACACCCCTACTCTGGACAGTCTAAAAGCCCGTCATTCCTCCTAAGGGACCACCTCTCTTCACCGCTGGGCCTCTGCTGGAATGCTCCCAAGTCTGGCTATGCCCTCTAGTAGTCCTCCCAGGCCACCCATGGTGGATGATGGTGCAGTGCCTTCTGTGAACTCATCTCTCTGCCATCACGGCACTTCTCATACCCCTGCCAATGGCCCGTGACTGGCCCATCCTTTCATTAAGAATCCCAGTAAGGGCAGTGGGAGCAGGGCTGTGTGTGTGGCTCATCTCCAAACCCCCGGTGTCTGTACTGTGCTTGGCCTAGAGGACCCTCTATAGCAGCAGTCGCCAACCTTTTTGACCTCATGAACCACCAGTGGTCTATGGACCACCAGCTGCGGACTGCTACTCTATAGATCATATTAAATGAATCAGTGGATGGATGGATGAATGGATGAGAGGAAGGAAGGAAGGAAAAGGAAGGAAGGAAGGAAGGAAGGAAGGAAGGAAGGGGAAGTAAGGACTCATTGATACCAGAAGCATGGTTTCTGAGCTGAAAGAGTCCCAGTGTGATGTGATAGTGGGGGATTCCTGGAGTTGAGAGAAGGCTCTCGACCCTCCCATTTTGCAGAACCAAAGAGCAACCAACCCTGGTGCTTCAGGAAGCTTTCTACTACAAATGCTCCTCTCTGTCTCTCCTTAGAGTTATCCATTCTCATCCTACTGTCCCAAATCCCTCCACAAGGACTCCAAGTCACTCCTCCAGCATCCTATTTCAGATGACAGCTCTCCAAGCATGAACCATGGCCCATGTGGCCCACAGCGATCCTCACAGCAGGCAGAAGATGGATCCAAAACTCGGGAATGCCCTAAACCATGGACTTTTAAAGCCATTATGAAGGCTGCTTTACTGCTAACCATTAAGAGAGTTATGAAAAGGGCTACTAATATTGAACACTGCCATCATCATTTTACTGCTTTCCAGTTCTCTCTTACCACTGAGTTCTTCTCCCAGGGGAAAGTTGAAACAGCTTAGGGCTTTGTACACCCCTCAGGGAGCTGCAGTCAAAGTGTTTTGGAGTGGGTATTCCACAAAGCAGTGCTCAAGCCAAATGGGACTGGAGCCATCTGTCGGCCCTGGAAAAAGGTGTTCCTCCTACTGCTACCAATATGATGGTAAGACAATCCAATCTTCCATGACGGTGTGGGAATTTTTGTTACCATATGGTATTTATATGCAATCATACAAATATACATAAGTATCCATAGACATATATATGCATGCACAGGCTGCGAATATTTTTGGAATACATCACACGAAATATCAGCGATTGCCTTTAGAAGGTACTGGGAACCACCAGAGTGATATTTAGACAATATATCTTCTTATACCTTTTTGAAACTTCCTATGTTCATACATAATCTTTTCTTAACCTTCTAATAAAAAATTTAAAAATTAACCTCAGTCAATGAGATGATTAATCAAGCTGAATATGACTATCTTTGCTTAAAACCTATTTCAGACTATAAACTATGGACCAAATGCAATTGAGATTTAAAAATGGATCATCTGGCCTTAGTTGCCCTCAAGGACATTTTTTTTTTTTTTTAACTGAGCACCAGAAGTTTTGGAAGAAATAATATCAGCAATATATTTTGCCTCTACAGACATTTTTAGAATTATGACATTAATATTTCAGATAACAGACAAAAACATCTCACATAAAAACATTCTCTCCTATGTGTACTCGTTGGTTGAATCACAAACTGTGCTTCTGCCAAAAAAAGAAAAGACAATTGAGGTGTGAATTCTAGGAAGAGGGCCGAGCAGGAAATGCAGGAATCTGCCTTCCCACCTACACAATTGTACAGGCAGAATCTGTCTGGTTTTGGAATTCTGGAGTTTATTGAAGGTTTGGACAGTAAATTGTGGTTAATTTCAGCTCTTAGCTCTGTAGCAGCTACACATCCTCCACGCAAGCCCTGAGGCAGGAAGCTGTGCACTGTACTTGGAGCAGCCTGTACACAGCTTATGGGAGCCAGGATAGGCAAAAAGGACCCAGTCCTCCGAATACTGAAGATGTTTCTGATCACTGATTGCTGTTTCTGGTCAGAGAGGTGCCATTGTTGTTTCACCCAACCCCACCCTCCATTGATCCAAGCCCCTCCCCTCTGGCTGAAGGAAATTCCAGGGGATTTAAAAGGCTAATGTCCATCCCCCTTCATTTTCCTCCTTTTCCCCTTAAAGACTAGGACATTCAAAAGCAACGGCATGTTTGGGAAAAATTAGAAAGTGACTGAACTTGCTCAGGGAAAGCTGTTCAGAAAATACCTGAAAGGATCTAAGTTCACACCTGATCCTTGGAAAAGGGAAGAATCTAATTTCCAGAGTTACCTCATTACTGTATTAGATTCAGAAGTCTAGTTTTTGACCAAAAATAAAAATAAAAAATAAAATTATAAGGCATTCAAAATAAATAAATAAATAAACAAACAGAAACTGTCCCTGAAAAAGACCTCTTAGCAGAACTACTTGACAAAGACTTTAAAATAACTGTCTTATAGATGCTTGAAGAACTGAAGGAAGATGTGGAAAAAGTCAAGAAAATGATATATGAATGAAGTTGAAAGAAACAAAAAACTCAGAAAGAAACAAAAAACTCAGAAAGAAACCAAAGTGAAATTCTGGAACTAAAAAGTACAATAGCTGAAATTTAAAATTCATAAAAGGATTCAAAGGCCTATTTCAACAAACAGAAGAATCAGCAAACTTGAAGGAAAGACAATGAAAAGAATTAAGGCCAAGGAACAGAAAGGAAAAAGACTGGAGAAAAGTGAACAGACACTAAGGGACCTGTGGGAAACTTTGAAGCCAGTCAGCATATGCTTTGTGGGAGTCCCAGAAGAAGAGAGAAAGGGGCAGAGAGAATATTTGAAGTAATACTAGCTGAAAACTTCCTAAGTTTGATTAAAGACATGAATATAAACATCAAAGGATCTCAATAAATTCCAAGTAGGATGAACTCAAAGTAGGTATGACCCATACCAAGACACATAAACTTTTTAAAGACAAAGAAATAATCTTGAAAGCAGCATGAGAGAAGCAACTCACTGGACAAAGGATACTCAGGAAGATAATTTTAGAGGCCAGAAGACAATGGGACAATATAGTCAAAGCACTAAAAGAAAAAAAAAAAGTAGTCAATTGGAAATCCTATATCAGCAACACTATCCTTCAAGAGTGAGGGAGAAATTAAAACATTTCCAGATAAACAAAAGCTGAGAGAATTCATTACCACTAGACCCACTCCAAAAGAAGTGCTCAACAGAGTCCTTCAGGGTGAAATGAAATGACATTGGACAGTAACTTGAAGCTATGTGAAGAAAGGGGAATCTGTAGGGAGAGTAATGTCAGCATCATAGCAGTACAAGACATTTCTTGCTTGGTCTCCACCTCAACAACAAAAATTCGGCAATTTTTGTTGTTGAACAAAAATTCCATGAATAGAAAAGAAAAGTTCATGGGAGGTGAGGGATCCAGCACCATATACCAAGAGACCCAAGAACAGTGGGACCCCTTTGTACACCAGGTAATAGGCAGACAGACCTCAGCACTGGCAGTGGTGCCTGCCAGGACCTGTGAACTGGCTCCAGCCCCTTTGGCCATGGTCCATGAGCGCCTGGAGAATTCTGACTTGGGCAGCTCCCACAGATGAGACAGCCTTTGTGAAAGTCCAGGTTTTAAGAGGAGAAGTTCCAGTACTCCATTGGAGCAAAATAAATAAAGTTTGGATGCAATGGAGTGGGCAATTTAGTAACTATTGGGGGGATTGGGACAAGGCAGCTACATGAAAAAAAAGGCCCAGAGATCAGAGGTAACATTTAAACTAATAAAACTCCTAATACTAATGCCAATGCCACATGGATAACTTTTTCTAAATGTTCTCTATGTGTGATGCATTAAGCTAAGCACTTTTTATATGCGTAATTTAACCCACAAATATCTCTGCTGTTCATGGTAGGGATGGTTATCCTTGGAGAAACTGAGGCCCAATGAGGTGAGGCAACTTGTGTGGATTCCTCCAGCTCACAGGTAACCAAGCTTGGCTGGGAACTCAAATCTGCTGATCCCGAGAGGCATGTCAAGAAAATCAGGGGCCCATTGGTGGGAGAGCATGCAAGACTGCTTCTTTGGAGGGTGTTCAGGGTGTCATGAGAGTCAAGATAGACAGGGATGAATTTGTTTATAACTTTGGGTGCCAGGTGTGGGAGTCTAGTCTTTATTCTGAGACAGTTTAGAGGCAGGAAGGGGCTTGGGTTTAGGACAAGACCGTTGGGGCAGGGAGGAGGAGGAGGAGGGAGACAAGGCTGCCTCCATAGCTGAGACCAGGGGTGATGGGGTCTGTACTTGCGTGGGCAGGGGAGCAGAAGACAGATCAGGGAGCTGGAACCTCTGAGACGTGATGACTGAGGTGGTTCTGGTTCTTCCCACTTGGAGCAGGGAGGGAAGACAATGAGTGAGGATGGACCTCCCAGCCTATATCGATGAGAAGGCAAGCTTTGGTGACACAACACACAGATGTGGGTCTGGGTCCCAGCTCTGCCACGCAGCAGCTATTTGACCTCAGGTGAGTTACTAGTCCTCTCTGAACCTTGTCAGGTGGGTATACACCCACCTCCTCTACCAGCCCGGGGCAAGGACCAGATGAGACAAGTTTCTCTTGTATTGCTGGATATATGGTAACCACCTGCACCTCAGTTTCCCTTCTCTATTCTCTCACATGCCCCCCAATGTGTGACCCGTCTTCCAGGGACTGAACTGACCCCGCCGGGTTATTGTGTAAACACAGAAACTAGCACATTCTTGAATGGGGAGAGGAAAACAAACATGTGCCAAAGTGCAAAGTACTGCTGTGGGCTTACTTTAAGACCTTCCTTCTGGTAACTCTGGGAGATACAGTCCAGGGCACCTTTGTATTTGCTTAAATAAACCCCATCAGCCTGGAGTCGACTTTTCACAACATCCATAGGAGTCGCTGTCCCCCAAGAAATTGCTCCTGTAAAGAGAGAGACAGACAGGAGTCAGGGGCTGGCTGGTTGGGGTCTGGAGGGGACCCTGCAGCTTCCTGCCAATCAGGAGCTTCATCAGCTGCTGAGGGAAGTGGGAAAGCTCAGGGTCAAGGCCTGCAAAGGCTGTTCCTGAGCCTCCCTTGAGACTTTGTGTGGGACTTCACAGCGTTATCCTACCCTGCAGGCCTTGGTTTGTCATCTGTGAAGTGGGGCAGCAGTACCTGTTTTCATGGGGTTGCTATGGGGATGAATAAACGGAGGTGAGGCATTCAGCACAGTGCCAGGCGCACAGCCAGTGCTTCATAGGTGGAAGCTTTTCTTTGAAGCTTTTATTGGAGAAGCCGGAACAGGCCCACCAGTGCTTGCAGCACCTTTCCAGGCACCAGAGGAGGCCCAGGCTGAGTCTGGTGAGGAGGGCTCGCAGCTCCCCAGAGGCAGGATCTACCCTGAAAACACAGAAGCTAAACAAGTGCTGGCCAGCCTGGGGATTGGAAAGAAATGTAGGAGCGGGTTTTTAAAAAGCTCTCATCTCCTCCAGGTATATGGAATAAAAGTCTTAGGACCTCGTGCCCTGCGTCACCCTGGTTGGACACGCTCAGGTGCCCTGGTTTGAGCGCTTTTTGACTTGCGGGGACTGTGGAAAAACAGCACCGGGTTATTGTGTAAACACGAAAACTAGCACATTCTTGGATGGGGAGAGAAAAACAAACCTGTGCCAAAGTTTGAGGCAGCTGGTTTGCTAGTTTTGTAATTGCTGCCAAGAGGCTCCCCAAAGAGGAACCCCAAACTCTGCTCATCCTGGCCTCCCTCCAGCCCCTGAGGCCACAGTGCCAGGGCGCCCTCTGGACCTCTCTTCCTTCTGCTCAGGTCAGGGTAACAGGCTGCTTCCCCTGGCACAGCATGCTCCCTGTCCCTCACCCCAAGGGCGAGGGTACTACAGGAGGTTTGCTTGCCAGGCCACTCACACCTGCTCTCTCCGGAAATGAGAGCAGGTAGGGCTTTGTTTGTCCTCAGCCGGCGAGGACTTCCTGAGCACACACTAGGAGCGGCCAGCCTCAGGCGACGGGGGCGGTGGGAGGGAGGGAAAACACTGGTGCTTGGGCTTTGTTATGTGCGGCAGAGTTTCACACATAGCTGATTATGAGGAGGAGGAGAAGGAGGAAAGACAATTTTCTCCTCTCAACAGCAAAGGCCACGTATCAGCCTCTTAAAAAGCATTCTCCATGTTCAAAATTGACCAATGTCACCCCAATTAATTTAATAAATTAATAAGTAAATAAATAAATAAATAAAAGCATTCTCTCTGGATTCCCAGGCCCCTCTAGCTATGCTGCACTTCTCTCTGCCCTGTTGGAACAGTCAAGTCCCTCCCAGGTTCTGGGCTCTCCAATTTCCTTTATCCCACTCTCTCTGTCCCACTTCAGTCAGGTTTCCATACTTTCTCTTGACCAAATGGGGCTTGTCAAAGTCCCTGGCGGCCTATCTACCTCACAGAGGCCCTTAGTGGGTGTCAGGACAGCCCGTAGCAGAAAGACCAGTGGGGCCAAGCCCAGAAGCCGACACGGAAGCAGAGATTGAGTGCAGGTGGGTAACAGGCGGCCCATGGCAGAGGGCCTTAAACACCACTGTAAAGACACCGACTTCTACCTAACATGACAGGGGGATGCAGTGGGAGTTCTGAGTTGGGAGGTTAAGTTCTGGTCCATGGTCATGAAATGAGTAAGTGTGGATTTGAACTTGTGTCTTTCTGATGCAGAGTCCCTGCTGAGGTCTGCACTGGCTGTGGGACCTTGGGTTGGCCACTTAATTTCTCTGAACCTGATCTTTCTAATCCTAAAACAGGGAAGACTGATTCCTACTTTCTGGAGGTAAAAAACGCTCGCACGAGGAAGGTTTATAGTGTGCCAATATTAAAAAATGGTGAACTGTAGTAACTAATTTCCTTTGAAAAGCTCGGTAACACCTGACACAGAGTAAGTGCTCAAAATGTATCTTCTGACTGAAAGTTGAAGGAGCCCAAAGAAGGACTTGCCATCCCCACAGGTCCAGTGGAGAGGAGATGGGAGAAAGTGGGGGACTGTCCTGCATTCCTAGCCCTTTCTCTGACACACAGTAGGTATTTAACATGGAATTGTTGGATGAGGGCTGAGTAGGGCATGGTAGGCCAACCCAACTGTCCCACTGCAGTGCCAGCACAGGGAAAGGTATCAATGCTGCTGTCTTACCTGCCACGCCACCTGCCAGCCACACAGCATAGGGGCTGGGGTCTGCACAGGCCTCAGGTGTGATCCAGTCGGTCAGGAACACATAGGGGATAAAGTAGAGGCAATAGCCTGGGACATCCCTCAGCATCATGGCACTGGCACCCCGGTATAGCCCCGCCAGGCCCTCAGTCCGCACGATGGTTGCAATGCAGTGCACGGGACCCTGGTAGGCTGGCTGCTCCCCGAGAGCCACTGCCCTGGGCTTCAAACTGAGGCTGGCTGCAAAGACAGGGCAGGTAAGATGACAAGTGACCCAGGGGGCAAGAGATTGGCCATTCTCTGGCACTAGAGCCAGCCCAGCCCACTGACAGTTCCCTCTCAGGTGGCCCACTGGTTTCTACCAAACCTCTGACCTTCTTGAAGCTCAAACCAGAATTCCGGAATCCCAACAGAGAGCCCTGCCAACATGAGCAGCCAAATGGAGACAATCTACCCAGGTGATAAAGCACCAGTTGCCTTAGAATGTTCAGGGGCTGCTGGTCAACCATCAATGTATCTCTCTCACAGATGTGACTGTAGAATTCCTAGGATCAACTATGAGAAGGCACACCAACCTCTTTCTTGAAGCAGAGACTGGAAAATCTAGCACACCGTGTGTGTGTGTGTGTGTGTGTGTATGTGTGTGTGTGTTTTAAGATCTTTAACTTTTCCTATAGTATCTCCACACCCAACCTTTTCAAAAGCTTTTTTTAGTGGGGCACATTTGGGGAGCACAGAGCCCTCTGAGCTCAGAGCAAGGTCAGATACTGTGGCCTTTAAAGCCCACTGAGACGTCCCTGGACACCCTCTCCTCTCCCAAATCTATCATAACACGGCCGGGGGCACCGGGGATATTTTGGCACAAGTCAAACAAGATGTACTTGTCCCAACATAAACTTTGCCTGGGCCACACTCCTGTCCAAGTGCAGTGATCTGAGTAAAAGTTTTAATGAATCAGCTCTGGGAATGAGGTGGCTTTCCGAAGTTACTGATTGAAGGAGGGCGCCTGATAACATCCTGCTTATTCAGAGGACAGATATTGAAAACTATTTGCCCAACCTCCAACTAGCCCTGGGAATAGAGAACCTGAACTCTTCTTTCCAGAGTGAGCAATAAGGAAATCCTCCCCATTCTCCCAGGCCTGTCACACAAGCAAGCAATCAAGTTTTTATTGCTTGAGAATGATCCGTTTATGACTATTAAAGCCATAAAACTGTCATGATAACTACCATCTTCTGAATGCTGCCTCGAGCCTGAACTGGCGGCCAGTGCCTTCTGGACACATGCTGATACTGCGAAGGCCCTGGGACTCCACTCGACTCCCTCATCCCCATGTAATAACAAGTGTGTGTTATTTAAAATAAAAAGACTTTTGCCAAAACCGGTTTAGCTCAGTGGATAGAGTGTCAGTCTACGGACTGAAGAGTCCCAGGTTCGATTCCAGTCAAGGGCATGTACCTTGGTTGCGGGCACATCCCCAGCAGGGGGTATGCAGGAGGCAGCTGGCCGATGTTTCTCTCTCATCGACATTTCTAGCCCTTTATCCCTCTTCCTTCCTCTCTGTGGAAATCAATAAAATATATTTAAAAATAAAATAAAATAAAAAGAAAATAAAAAGACTTTTTATTTGAAAAAAAGATTTCAAATTTGAAAAAAAGCACCAAAAAGAAAAAATTGTATAAAGAACAGCCTTAATATTCGCTACCCAGATTCACCTGCTGGTAACATTTATTTTATGGTTTATGCGCTCTCCTCCCCACACCCTTCTCCCTTAACCACGCATATGCAATGACTGAGCAGCTGCCAATGTCCCCATGCCTAGACCTGTCCGGGTTGTGTTCATCTCCAGGCAGTAATGGCCTGACCTGGGGTCAAGGTTCTCTCATGTCAGCTATAGGTATGATGTGGGTTTCAGGACTTACAGGCTGAAGGGTAGTATCTGATAAGGTCCTCTCTGTCTGAAGGTGTCAATGTTGGGAAAACACTTGCCAAACCTTGAATCAGCCTTGTGGACAAGACCCAAACCTGCACTTGTTTTCATTTTCCCCAAGGTAAGCAATAAGGAAATTCTTTATACAAACATACATAATGTTATATTCTGAACCATTTTACCATGAATTATATACAAAATGGCCTTTTACCCTTAAATACTCAGAATATGTATTTTCTAAGAATACTGTATTGTCTTACATACCATAGTGCAGTTATTTGTTTCATAACCTACATTGACAATACTGTTATCTAATGTACTGTCTATATTCGCATTGTCATTTGACCCCATAATGACCTATAAAGCATCCCTCTCCCTCCCTGGCACGGAATCCAGTCTACTCGGGTGTTGCATTTAGCCATCATGTCTCTTTAGCTTCCTTTAATCTGGAGCCTTTCCACAACCTTTCTTTGTCTTTATGACACTGACATTTTTTTTAAGAACACACTGCTCTCCTTCTTGTAAACAGAACTTTCTTCATTTGGGGTTTGCTTGATGTTTCCTTGTTTTTACATTGAGGTTATGAGTTCCTGGCCCAGCCTCTTCCCCATTCTCACCTCTTTTCCCACGAAGACTAATCACTTTCAAGAGCCTTCTCCGGCCTCCTATGCTTGTTTTGCAGTTTGTTTGTTTTAATTGAGGTATACTTTACCTTCAATTGAAGGTATAGCTATTAAGTGCACAAAAGGAGAGTTCTGACAATTGTTGCTACACTCCACTGAGAAGATGACATCTTATACTGAAACTATTTTGGTTGCAGCCCACTCAGGCAGAGCAAAAATTCCAAATCTACCTGCCCTCTCACGCTTTTCAAGATAAAGAACTCTGCACATCAACATGTCACTCAATGAGAAGCATAGCTTCCTTTTAGGCGATGGTTGTTATGGGCCCATCTGCATTAGCAGTAGTGCTATGAATGATTCATCTTGGACCACAGAGCAGAAACTGCTATCAGTTGTTCAGACCACAAGATGCTCTGTGGCTGGAGCAGGGAGTTGTGGCCCTGAGAGGTATGGCCTGGATGGGAGCCTTCACAACTAGACAAAGAAAAGCACTGATCGACTGAGAGTTCTGGGTAACACTAGCAGTGGACCAATTTTAGTTTGTGAAAATCAAATTTTGCTGATCCCAAAAAACTGACTTGGGAGGTTGCTGATAAGCAGTTCTTGGAAATATGCACAACCGAATTCCATGGCCTTCCATGTCATTCCTGCAAGGACCCTGAGGAAGGAGGCCGGGTGCTGGACCAGGATCATATGTCTTCACTTAACACCACAGATAGCCCAGCCAGCGTGGCTCAGTGGTTGAGCATTGGCCTATGAACCAGGAGAACATAGTTCGATTCCTGATCAGGGCCTGTGCCTGGGTTGCAGGCTCAACCCACTATGGGTACATGCAGAAGGCAGTCAATCAATGATTCTCTCTCAGCATTGATGCTTCTCTCTCTCTCTCTCTCTCCCTTTCTCCCTTCTTCTCTGAAATCAATAAAAATATAAAATAAAAAAATTAAAAAACAGAAGACCATAGATAGGCTCCTATAGACCGTGACTTGAAGCAAAATGACATAAAAAGAACCACTTTACCATAAACTAATTGATATAAACAAGAGTTAAGTTCAGACAGCATATTTCCGGTCACAAAAACATCTTCAAACTTCTAAATAAGTAATCAAAACACTTCTAATATTAAACATTGAAATAAATGTGAGCTATATACACACTTAAGATTCATAGAAAACAAGAAAAAGAATTATTTCCAATCTACTTATTCCAATTCAGGATTGTAGGTGGCCAGAACCTCTCCTAGCAGCTCAGGGTGTGGCAGGACCCATGCTGGACAGACCACACACACACATATTCAGACTGGCACAACTTAAGACACGCCAATTCAGTGGCCGCTGCCAGGCTGATTTTTCTCATCGTTGTTTTATATAATCACATTGAACAAAACGATGTTATTCGAGGCCCCACTGTACTCAATTCACACTGCACCACCATCTCAGCTCGTTGTTCCTGAACTGTCAGGACTTGGGCTTAGGGTGCACACATGCAGGTGAAGGGATTCACATTAGGTTTTGTTATTCTGAGGGGGTGAGATATATTTTGTTTCTCTAATTATAATTTTTTGCTCTAAAATGAGAATAAGATTATGAGTCAAATTTTGCTCATTTCTTATCATGAGTGCTTCACCATTGTACCATTTTTTGCTGTGCTAAGTCAAGAAGAGCCTATGACCTCTCACATGATAGGTATGGGTTATATATCTCAAACACTCAGAATGTCTGTGTTTTTCTTTGTTCTGCTCAAATTCAGTTAGGATTGACTCATATACCAAGACTGGCAGGATGTTCAAGGTCAATGAAACTGGCTCCCATTCTGCTCCTAATTTTCCCCTTGGAGTGGAAGAGAGCCTACAAAATTCTAGAAGACCCTCTCCTCCAGACCCCTCCCTAGATGTGGCTCTGACACCACTGCCCTGCACCAGTGGCCAGTGCCATGCTTGCCTCCTTGCTGGCCAGGAGGTCCCTTTGAAGAAGACTCTGCAGAGGGTAGGGGCTTCCAGGCTTGGCCAATCATAAGGTACCATGCAAGCACCTCTTGAGGGTCCTTCTAGACCACATGTGTCAAACACAAGGCCCGCGGGCCAAATCCGTCCCGCCAGGCCTTGCAATGTGGCCCGCACCGCGCTGTCATCACTGCACTCCGCTGCGTTTCCATCACAATGACAGTTTATGACTGTTCAGTAAACCATTCGGCCCGTGATTTAGGCTGGATTTTAGATTTTGGCCCCTTCTCTGATTGAGTTCGACACCCCTATTCTAGACCCAGGTCATGGTTCCTACAGACCTGCCACTATAGCTCCTCTTCTCAGAACCCAGGACCACACCACAGCAGACTCTGTGCCCTTATTAGATACAAACAGGGCAAGTTCCGTTTCTTTCCCTTTCGTAGACAATGCTATTCACTCTCTTCAGTGGGCCATCACCCTGCAAACAGGAAAGCTCACTGAAACACAAAGGCTGGTCACTGATTTACAGAGGGCCTGGCCCTCGGCAGCACAAAGGCCTGGCCACACTCTGGGAAGGAAAGCACCACCAGGCTGCCACTGTATGTGAGCACATAGGGGGTAACTTTCTACAGAAAATCCCTAACAAATCAGCCACCCACAGAGGAAGTGCTGCTGGTCCCCAGTCAGTGACGTGTGGGTTTACCAAACTGCTGTGCTCATGATACATCCAGGCCAGGGGGCT